CGCGGGACAAGGCTGCCCTGTGGACCGACAGCCGCTACTGGACCCAGGCAGAGCGGGAGCTGGACTGCAACTGGGAGCTGCAGAGGACAAGTCAGTGGGGGCAGGATGGGGCCCTTCTGAGTCTCCCCACTCCCAGGGACCCCCCCAGCCCCTGCCACAGCCTTCTCTTGGCTCCGCGTGGGTTGGGATGCAGTGGGAATTCGCGGTGCCACCCAGTTCTCTCCTGCAGCCTCAATCGAGTCCATCGGGACGTGGATCCTGAAGGTGGTTCCCGCGGAGGGGAACATCAGTTTGGACCCCTTCCTCTTCTCCATCGGTAGGGCTGGCTGACACTGGGGGTCACCCTGCCCACGGGAGGGCAGCCCCTGGGTATGAATTTACCAGGAGCCCAAACCTGGCTGTTCACCCCCCAGACACCTGGAACAGCTACAGCCGGGCTCTGCACGGCTCCAGCCGGACCCTGCTCCCCCTCGAGACCAACCTTGTTGATCAGGGATGGGGTGACCAGAGACCCCCTCCCTCTTCCAGCGAGATCTACAGCCTCCCAGCAGAGTTCACAGGTCTGACCCCAGCCTCCCGCAGCTCACCCACAGCACTCCCAGCCTGGGGCCGCAGTGGGCCGTGCCCTGAGCCGACCACTTGCCCGACTTGCAGGGAGCAGCTGGCAGGAGAAGGTGGCCGGGATCCGGCAGCGGATGGAGCAGCACGTGCGGCGCCCCACAGCCGTGCTGCTGTCGGGGCTGGAGGAGACGGCCTGTAAGAAGGCACGGTGCCGTGGGGCCATGGCAGGGGCCGTGGGCTCAAAGCCTGAAGGTGGGAGGGCAGTGACAGTCGCGGATGCAGAGCTCTCGTTCCCGGCAGGGCTCTTCAACCTCCGCGGAGATGACATCCCCTACAACCCTGTCTTCTACTCCTACACCCTCCTGACCGACACAACCATAAGGTGGGCAGCACATCCCTGTGGGCACAGGGCTTGGAGCGGGCCCACCACCCACCCCCCCTTCCAGCCTTCCTTTCCTGAGCCAGCCCCCATGGGACCCTCCTCTCAGCCCCGTTGCCCCTTATCCCCAGAGTGACTCCATCCTGCCATGCCCAGCCCCACTGACTGTCCTTCTGAGCCACACATCTTTCCCAATCCGCCCCCCCGCTCCCAGCCCACTCCAGGGTACGGCACACTCCCTTTCCTCACAGCCTGAGTTTCTCCCGTTCCCAGCCCAGCATCCCCTCACAGCCCCCCAGGTCCCTCCTCTCTGCTGGCGTGGCCGGAGTTGGAGGGACAAAAGGCAGCAGGTGACCACGTCTGTGCCCGCCCCAATCCCGCTCCCTCCGCAGCCTGTTCGTGGAGCAGTCCCGGCTCTCGGTGCAGGCGCGGCAGTCCCTGCGCTCGGGCTGCCCGGGGCCGCTGTGCGTGGAGCTGCAGGAGTACGGGCAGGTGAGCGCCCACCTGCGCCGCTACGCCCAGGGCAACGTCACCGTGTGGCTGGGCACCGAGTACACCACCTACGGCCTCTACGCCATCATCCCCCAGGTGGGCACCGAACCTGCCATGGGGCATGCGGGTCCTGCAGGCTCGGGGACGGCCCCGTGTCACCACGTTGTGGCCGCACTTGGTGCCTGAGGGGACAGGTAGCTGTGTCACCTTCTGCCTGCTCTCACAGGAGAAGCTGCTGGAGGAGAGCTACTCGCCTGTGATGATGGCCAAAGCTGTGAAAAACGCCCATGAGCAGGAGATGCTGCGAGCCGCCCACGTAAGGGCTGTCCCCGTCCCCACAGTGCCCTACAGAATCAGGGGGAGAGCGGAGGAAGCAGGGTGCTGATGCCCCCCCCCCCCCCCGCTGTCACTGCGCACCCCCAGGTCCGGGACGCAGTGGCTGTCATCCAGTACCTGCTGTGGCTGGAGAACACAGTCCCGCAGGGGCAGGTGGACGAGTTTTCGGGAGCACAGCGAATCGATGCATTTCGCTGGTCAGTGCTGCCCCTCGGGCCTGCCCTGCCCAGGGAAGGGCAGCCGGGCACCCTCAGCACCCTCCTTCCTCCCTGCTGCCTTCCAGGGCCCAGGAGCACAGCCGTGGGCCCAGCTTCGAGTCCATCTCAGCCAGCGGGCTCAACGCAGCACTGGCTCACTACAGGTAGGGCTGCAGCAGCGGTGGGCACTGGGCAGAGGGCAGTGGGCAATGGGCAGCTGGGAGAGGGCTCTGACCCCCCTCCCCTCGCAGCCCCTCCAACGGGAGCAGCCGGACGCTGTCTGCGAGAGAGATGTATCTCTTTGACACCGGAGGGCAGTATCTGTACGTAGCCTTGAACAGAGATTCCCCCCCCCCCCACCACAGCCCACATCCAGGGGCCCCCAAAGCCAGCGCTGGGGCTGCATCAGCCCCATTCATGAGGCCCCTTTGCAGGGATGGGACAACAGACATCACTCGCACAGTGCACTGGGGCGAGCCCACCCCTCTCCAGAAGGTACCAGCCCCTCCCATGTCAGCCAACATCCCCCTGCACTGCCCAGGGCAACCCTGAGATGCCCAGCATACCCCTACACTGCCCAGCACTCCCTATGGCACTCAGCATCACAGTCCTGGCCTGGGCTGGATGTGCAGTGGTGGGTGTCTGGGTAGCACCACACTCACCCCCTGCCATGCCCTACAGGAAGCCTACACCCGTGTGCTGATGGGCAACATTGACCTCTCCCGCCTCGTCTTCCCATCCAACACAGCAGGTGGGTGCCAAACCCAGCATTGGCCCTGCACAGAACCCCTGGCACAGGGTGCAGGATGGCACAGGGGAGCCCCATAGACTCCTTGGCCTCCATCTCACCTCTTCATTCCCCAGGGAGAACGGTGGAGTCCTTCGCCCGCCGGGCACTCTGGGATGTTGGACTCAACTATGGCCATGGGACTGGCCACGGCATTGGCAACTTCCTCTCAGTCCATGAGTGTAGGTGCCACCAGCACTGGTGCTGGGCATGTGGGCTGAGCTATGGGGACAGGGATGAGGACAGGAGCTCACTGGGGGCTTCCCAGCAGAGCCTCTATAACAGGCAGAGAAATCCCCGCTTGCAACATCTTGTGGTCTTTGCCAGGGTGGCCCCATCATCCTTGCTGAGGTGGTCCCAAGGTCCTTACTGGGATGATCCTTGTCCTTGTAGTGGTCCTTGCCATGGTGGCCCCATAGTCCTTGCCTTGGTGGCTCTGTGGTCCTTGCTGGGGTGTCCTTGTGTTGGCCCCATGGTTCTCTCTGGTGTGACATCTTCATCCTTGCTGGGGTGTCCCTGCAGCACCTGTCATCCACAGAGCTCTAACCCACCTCATGTCCCTGCAGGGCCCGTGGGTTTCCAGTCCAACAACGTGCCACTGGAGGCCGGCATGTTCACCTCCATTGGTATGTCCCAGCACCCTGACCGGCACGCTGGCTCTCCAGGACAACCGCAGGGACAGAGCCCAACCAGGGATGGGCTGTCAGCTCTCAGCCCACTCAGGGCCAGATCCAGCCCTGCTGGGGTGGGCTGAGGGAGCTGCTGGGGCTGGGAGCTCACCAGGCACGTTCCCGGCCCTCAGAGCCCGGGTATTACCAGGATGGCGAGTTCGGGATCCGCATCGAGGATGTCGCCCTCGTGGTGGAGGCACAGACTGAGGTAGGGCAATGGGGAGGCGGTGACAGGGGTGGCACACCATGGGCCTGCATTGAGTCAGGGGTGGAGGCACCTCCAAGGGGGTAGGGGACGTGCAATGACACCTCTCTGTGGCAGCACCAGAGCGGGGAGAAGCCTTTTCTGACCTTCGAGGTGGTGTCCCTGGTGCCCTATGACCGCAACCTCATCGACCTCAGCCTCCTGTCCCCAGAGCAGGTACGGCTGTGTGCTTGGGGTGAGCAGGGATGCAAGGTCAGCACAGGGGCTTAGGGGGTGGATGCAGGAAAAACCAGGACCGTGGCATGAGGCTGGAGTGGGTAAATGAGGACAGAGCAAGTATTCGTGCATGGATGAAGAGGGGCAATGAGCTCTGCAGGTGGGGTCAGTGGTCAGAGTGTGGGGCAGCTGGACGGGGAAGGCCAAAGGCAGGTGTGACACCCAGGCCGACAGCTCCCCGTGGTGCCTGGCTGCAGATCCGGTACCTGAACTCCTACTACGAGAGGATCCGGGCACACGTGGGGCCGGAGCTGCGGCGGCAGCGGCTGGAGGCGGCGTATGTCTGGCTGCAGGAGAGCACCGAGCCCTTCCCGGTGAGCAGCGCCGGCACCGCCGCGGGCTTGCTGGCCCTCGTCTCGCTGCTCTCGGTGCTGCTCAGCGGGCTGGGCGCCTGATCCCGCACCCGTGGCCCCACTCTCCCACTCCCCCACCCCCCCCCCACCACGGCCGGGTCTTCCCCCGCCCTCACTTCCTTTTTTTTGGTGTATTCTATTTGCTCGTCTGTGATTAAACATGAGCAAGGCGGGCCCTGCTGTGCCCGATGTGCTGCGCGCTGCCTCGCCGGCCAGTTAGGGCTGGAGTCCCGCCCTCCAGCCCACCCCTGTGACCCTGCTTGTGCCATCTTGTCCAGCCCTGAGGCGACCAAGCCAACGGCGACAGTGAGGAGATGGATTTGGGCAGATTATGATTCTGGGGCAAAAGCTGGAGGATTTGGAGTGAGAAAATGCAGGGCAGCCAACCACGGATGTCCCCGCGGGTGCTAGCAGCGGGGTGACCATGAGCACATCCCACCTGGGTGTGATGCCGAGCCGGGAGGACCTGCGGATACAGGGGACATCCCAGACCAAGTGTCCCGCATAGGGCTTGGCTACCATGTCCCAGCAGGATGAGCAGGCACGGGGGTGGGCACGACGGAGGGGTTGGGGTTTGTCACTTTCTCCATGGCGGGGACACACGATGCCCATGTGCAGATGGCCAAGGGGCAACATCACCGAGGGGCGGCAGCACTGCCGAGGGGAGGCAGGGCACGGGCAGCATCACCGAGGGGCGGCACGGCCGAGCAGTGTCAGGGCGCAGGCACCGTCCCCACCCAGGGGCCCCGGGCAGGGCAGCAGCTCGCTGGAGGGTTTCCTTCCTCCTGCCCCAGCCCGCGCTTCGCGAGCCACCCCGAGCACGGCTGCAAGCGCCTCTCATGTGACCGCCGGCTTCCTGTGCGCTCCCGGCTCGGTGCCGGTGCCGCGGGACGAGACGGGACGGGACGGGACGGGCCGCGCTCGCCGCTGCTGGACGCTGAGCCCCAGGCCATGCTGCGCCGCAAGCCTTCCAACGCCGGCGACAAGGAGCCGGGACACAGGAAGGTGAGTCCTGGCGGAATCCAGGTGCCCTCAGCACCGCAGACATCCCGGCGCATCCAGAGCTGTCCGAGCCTGGGCTGCCGTGGGATGCTGAGCAGGAGGGCTGGGGCAGGGCCCCGGGGGCTGGGATCGCACGGCAGCTGCCCTGCCATCAGTTCGTCTCTGCTGCCATCAGCCACCGTGGCCTCGCCAGTGCGTGGTCCTGGCCTTGTCTGCCTCCCACTCTGCCTGCCATCCTGTTGGGACGTGTGGCTGGGATGCACAGCCCCCGGGATCCACATGGGTGCCAGCTCAGGTGCCGGTGGGACGCGCAGAGCTCTGCTGGGGGCGGCTGTGCCCCCCGCCCCGCCATGGCCTCCCCGGGCGTGGGCGGCCGCCTGTCATTTCCTGGGGGCCATGGCTGCGGTGGCGGCTGTGCAGCTCTTGCGCAGCAAGGTGCTGCGGTCGGGGCCGCAGCTTCGTCACGTGCGCCAGCCGCTTCCTCCGGCAGCCCTGCTGCGAGGTGCGAGCCACAGGAGCACAGCTGCCAGTGCCACGGCCTCTCGAGAGCCCCCTGCGTGCCACGGCCGTGTGCCACCCTGTGGCTGAAGTCTGGAGGCTGAAGTCACCAGTGGGGGCCAAAACTGGCTCCTCATCTCCCGCCAGGTCTCACACCAGCTGGCATTTCAGCTCTTGCCAAGCTTTGCTGGGCTGGCATCAGCATCAGCAAGTCACCACGGGGAGCAGGGGCAGTGCCTAGTGGCAGGGTCCTGCCCCTGACAGGCACAAATCCTGCCATGGCAGCTCCTCTGTGCTGCCAAGCTCCGCCGGGAAACCTGGGTGAAGTCCCCTCCCTGCACGGGGGGTGGCCCATCCAGCCGGGCCAGTCCCAGTGGGCATCCCCTGCCCTTGCCCAGTGACAGCCATTCTCACTTCCCCCTCCTGCTCTGCTCCGGGAGAGCCCGGCTCCCCTGACTCACATCTCACTGCCAGGCTCTCCATGGCTCCTCCAGCCCCGGGGCACTTCTATCTCAGAGCTGTTTTATCTCAGCAGTGAAGCCCTGGGAGGTTCAGTGGACCTGGATGTGGTGGATTCAGGCACTGGGGTGGGAGCAGGGCAAAAGCCAGCATCCCGTCTGCACAGATGCACCTGGAGCTGGCATGAAGCCACAGTGGGTGTGCAGCTGGGTGTGGCTTCGTGAGCCAGCCCTCTGCAAGGAATGGCAAAACCAAGTGCTCAGGGTGCTCGGTGGAGCTGATGAGAAGGAGAATAAAGAGGGAACAGCACAGGGCCAGGCTGTGCAGGGGTGGGAAAGGCCTCTCCCACCACAGGAGCTGGCAGAGCTGCTTGAGAACAGGAATCCCTGGTTGTGGTGATGGCAGAGCAAGCACCGTGGTGTGTGCTCTGAGGGCCTCAGAGTGCTGGCAGTGGCAGCTGAGCTCACTGTGCCCCAGTGTGTGAGCACGCTGGTGCTGGCATCCAGAGATGAGGGACACCTGGGACCATGTGGCCGTGCTGGCACCAAGGACGTTCCTGGCGTAAAGAAACCCTTCCATGTGAGACAGGCACCTTAGGCCATGGAGAGAAAGGCAGGCAGGGGGCACAGCAAAGACTAAAAAGAGCAAGGGACAGAGAGGTGTACCAGGACTGAGATCCAAAATGAGCTTTGATGGCTTAAGCAGGAGGTGGCACCAAGCCAGCTGGTGATGCTGGGGGTGTGCTCTCTGGGCTATGGAGTGACACTCACAGGTGGAAAACACGGATTTGTGATGAATGCTCCAGGATTTCAGTCCTGCAGCTGACCCTGTGGGTAGCAGCAGGGCTGCTCTGGTGCTACCTGCCCTTCACTGCCTGCCCACCTGTGCTGAGAGGAGATGCAGAGCTCTGTGTACCTCCACGTCCTGGCCCATGTGCCAGGGTGGCATCATGGCACAGCCCTGGGCTGTTCCTGGCAGTGCCAGGCTCCACACTAGAGCATCCCTGCCCTGGGAATGCTGTGCCAAGCAGCTACACAGGCACCAAGAGCTCCACATCCCAGTTCTGGGGGGTTGATGACACATGGCAGCTCCTGGAAGAGAGCAAAAAACTCATCCCAGCACTGGCATTACCCTGGGATTGGCAGAGCAGCTCAAAGAGCAGAGAGGAGCTGGGGCAGGGAATGCAGGAAGAAACCCATATCACACCTTTCCATTTCCCCCCTCACACCTCTGCCCCTGCTCTCAGCTTTCCCTACAGCGTTCCAGCAGCTTCAAGGATTTCAACAAGTCCAAGGTCAGTTCCCCCGTGTCAAGCGAGGAGTTCAGCCTGGAGGAGAATGTGAGTTCCTAGCACCCTTGACACATCCTGCTCCCCTGGGAACAGCCCATTTCAGGGCTGGTTTCCTGAAACTCCTGGTCTTACCAGTGGCCTATATGTCATAGAGCAGCCCCAGAGCGTCAGCACTGGTGGCATTTGGGATCTCACAGTCCCTGTGTGACCCTGTTGAGGCTTGCCCAGGGTGGGGGGCTCTGCCTTCACTCTCCATCCCTCTGGCAGATCCCTGAGGATGATGCCAGCAGTGCCAGTGCTGAGGAGGGCGCACGGAGCAGCGGGACCAAGCTGGGCAGGAAGTGGCGGGCAGTCATCTCCCGCACCATGAACCGCAAGATGGGCAGGATGGCTGTGAGAGCGCTGGCCGAGGGCAAGGTGAGCAGGAGGCGTGGGGACACAGACAGGTGAGTGGGGGACAGCTCCCCCTCCCTCGGCCTGACCCCGGTACCCCCAGCAGGGAGAGGTGGAGGCAGAGAGGCCATGCCCCCTGTCCCCAGCCAGCAGCGTGGAAGAGCAGAGCCATGACAAGGTGCCCCTGTCGTACCTGGAGCTGGAGGAGGAGGAGGATGGGCGCCCAGCCCTCAGACGCCAGATGTCCAGCGGTGAGGCCAGCCCCGATGGGACACTGGTCCCACATCCCCAGCCGGGCATATCCTGCTTGACCCCCTCCTCTCTGCAGGCAGCGACATTCCCAGCCCTGGCGATCCCAGGGACAGCCAGCAGCTGGAGGAGACCGTCCCAGCCTACACTGGCCCCTTCTGTGGCCGGGCCCGTGTCCACACCGACTTCACCCCCAGCCCCTATGACAAGGACTCCCTGAAGCTGCGGGTGAGCCATGGTCACTGTGGCCCTGGGGAGGGAGGGAGGGCAGCTGGGGACCCCCTGAGCTGGGAGTGTTCCCTGGCTGTCCCCAAGCCTGTGCCCCTCACCATCCCATGTCCCTTGGCCTAGAAAGGGGACATCATCGGCATCATTGAGAAGCCACCTGTGGGCACCTGGACCGGGCTGCTCCACAACAGGGTGGGCTCCTTCAAGTTCATCTACGTGGATGTGATCCCTGAGGAGACGGTCCCTGCCCGCAGGAGCCGGAGCTCCAGCCGGAACAAGCGCCTCAAGCCCAAGACCCTCCATGAGCTGCTGGAGCGCATCAACCTGCAGGTGAGGGACAGGGGCTGTGGGGGACAGCAGCACCCCGCTGTCCAGGGACCCAGCACCCAGCAGCACCCAGCACGGGACCAGCAGTGTGACCAAGCCCTCTCCCCTTCACTATCCCCCACCTTGTGGGTCCTTCCACCAAGCACCCAGGGGCACAGAGGGGACATGTAGGGCATTTCTTGGTAATGTGGGCTAAGTGCCCACCGTGGACCCACTGAGGGGGGAGCTACAGGCCATCACTGGGGGTCAGGAGGAGCCAGGGGAGCCACCCATGCCCTGCTCACCCCTACCCCCACCCCCCACCCAGGAACACACCCCCACCCTCCTGCTGAATGGGTACCAGACCCTGGAGGACTTCAAGGAGCTGCGGGAGACCCACCTGAATGAACTGCACATCATGGACCCCCAGCACCGCGCCAAGCTGCTGACGGCTGCCGAGCTCCTCCTGGACTATGACAGTAAGAGTCCTGGGGAGGGGCGGGGACCCTGACTGGGTACCCCAGCAGCACCACTAACACCACGGCCCCTTTCCCAGCAGCCAGTGAGCCAGAGGATGGTGACAGCACTGAGGCCCTGCCATCACCCTCAGAGCCCAAGGGGGACATTCCCCGGGACTCCGGCTGCTTCGAGGGATCAGAGACCCTGGATGGCAGCCGGGAGGAGGCCGAGCTGGGGGGTCCTGAGGAGCAGCTGGCGGGTCCTGAGGAGCAGCTGGGGGGTCTCTCCATGGCAGAATCCCCCTGAGCCCACCAGCACCGCCACTTTCCACTCTGGCCCTAATAGGGGAGCTGGATTGGAGGGGATGGCTGCTGGTGGGGGACAGGGGAGCCCCAGTGGTGGCACCTCAGGGCCCAGCTTGGCCCCTGCACCAGAGCCAGATGCTGGGTGGGCATGAGGTGCCCCAGGACATTTTGCATGGCACTGCCTGGCACCACTGCCCCGAGGCAGGGACTCTGGGCATGCTGGGGCATTGCACCCCCTGCCAAGACACCACAGGCATTGGCTGCTTTCCCCAGGTTTGCCAGCAGGCTCAGGAAGGGAGCTAGGGATGGAAGCTGTGTGTGCAGGCCACTGAAGCCTGCCTAGGACACTGTCACTTCTCAGCATGGACACACAGAGACCCCCCCCCCCCCCCCCCGTCACCTGCCATGAGGGACAACAAGATGCAAATAACATAGCTAAGACACCCTGGAAGTGTGAGATGGAGAGTCCTGGAAATGCACAGGGAAGAGGGAAGAGGCAGCTGGCTTGGGGCAGCACAGAAACACAGGGGCTACAGCTCAGCCATTTTCAAACCAATTAAGTTTCCTTCATTGTTTTAAAATTAAAAAAAAAATAATAAGAAGAAAAAAATAAAGAACACCCAGCCCTCACCCGACCCCCTTCCTTCCTTCTGGAGACCCTGACCCTTGCAGGCAGGTCCCGGCAGGCAGCACTCCACACACCTCATGGAACAGAGAGCAGCAAAGCCAAAATACACAATTTTCCGCACTGAATTGGAGTTTTGGTCAGTAGCGCGTTGGGGCGACTCCCACGGGGTGGGGCACAGGAGCCCTGTCCCCGGAGGATGGAACAGGATGGGGCTGGGCTGGCTGCGGGCCGTGGCAGGGCGGCAGGGGCTCTTTTCCAGCCACATTCCAACGGAGAGCAGCTGTGGCAGCTCTGCCCTCTCACCCAGGAGAAGAGGCGCTGCACCGCGGGAGAGGGGGCAGTGCCGGTGCCACGTTCAACCACACCCCTCACTGCCAGCCAGGAGCATCACGGACACACAGACAGGACTGGCCCGTCAGGACGCCCCCCAGCAGCCACCACACACCTGCTGGGAGGAACTGAATGAGTGAGTGCCCAGCACTGTGACAAGGGACCCGGAGCTGCCAGGGCACAGAACGGCCTCTCCTCCACCAGCGACCTCTGCGGGGATCCCAGAGGTGTGAGGGTCCTGCCAGTGCAGGACAGGGACTGTGGAGTGGGGGAGCCCTGCCACAGCACAGAGCTCTCCTGCCATCCCCCCAGCCTCTCCTCCTCTGTTGAGGACACACAAGCCCAGCCCTAGGCAGCTGGTACAATCCTAGGAAGATCCAAGGCTCCCAAAGCCAGTCTAGGATGGCTGAGAACAGCAGAGCAAGGCAAAGGGGGGACATGGGGATGCAATGACACAACACAGATTGGGGCTGAGGTTCTGCAGAGCTGCTGTGCCACAGCTGGGGAGGGCTCAATGCAGACACCCAGAAACAAATGCAGCCCCAGCACCAGCCAGGAGCCAGTGGCACAGGCACACAGGCAGACCTTTCCCTGCAGCTGTCCACCTTGGCTGCCTTCTCCCTCCCTCAAAGCCCAGGGTGATGTGAGCACCAGAGCAGATGGAAGGAGGGTCGCCTCATAGCTGCTGCCTTGTTACATCACGCAGAAAGGAGCACAGGAAGACAGCTACCTAAAAACCGCTGCCAGCAGAACTCCTTCCCACTTGTTTGTGTCCTTGGGGCACCAAAACATCTCCTGACAAGCCTTGCCACACCAACCACAAAACAACGCCACGAATTAGAGGAAGGAGGGAGGAGGGGAGAGAGGACATTGCTGCCACGATTGCTTTCCCTTTCCTTGGGGATTCCTCAGCAGAAGGTCGCAGGCTGGCCCTGACAGCCTCACCCTGTCAGAGCTGGGCCCGGGCAGAGGGGACAGCCCCAGCCCTGAGCTGGGATGGAGCATCCAGGACAGCCCACAGAGCCAGAGGCCTGGCCCCAGGCAGACCTGGTGCTGGCAGTGCCCCACGGTGACCGGGGGGTGCCACTGCGCAAGGCCAGCGCTGCCCGCACCGTGGTGAGTAATGACTAAAGCAAAATGGCCATGGGGAATCAGGTGCCTGCCATCCAGCCCTTCTCCTCTCCTCCACCACTTCCAGCTTCGATTAGACAAAACAACAAAGTTCTCCTTTCCAAGCAGATGCTAGTGCTCCGCTCGCCCAGCGTCCAGGGGGGGCACCGGGAGCTCCCCAGGCGTTCGCTGCTTCTCCTCTGGCATCTCGGTGTCACTCACAGATGGGGCAGGGACCTGGAGAGAGAGGACAGAGTGACCTGCAGGGACACCCCCAGTGCAGAGCCCAAGCACACAGGCCCCACCGCTCCGCTTCCACCTCCAGCTCCACTAGCAGCAGTCTCAGGTGCGCTTGGGAAAATGAGAAACTAAAATCAGGGGCCACCCAACAGGCAACATAGCAGCTTCAGGAAGAACTGGAGCACTGGACTGCTCCAGCAGAAGGTGTCTTGGACTGTGTCCACCAGGGAAGGGCAGCTCATGCCCAAGCAGGAGCAAGCCAAGGCATTTCCCACCATGTTATTGGAATAATTTAGGTGGGAAGGGCACTCTGGAAGTCTCCTGTCAAACTGTGTCCTTAATGCAGACTAATTTCAAACACAGGAGGCTGCTCAGGGCCACAGCAGCTTTCTCCACAGACGGAGATCCCAGGGACAGCCCTGCAGCTCACACGCAGAACCAGAACAAGCTGTCTGCAACCTCTCAGCCCTCCCCAGCCCTGCCGAGCTCCATGGGCAACAGCTCCTGAGTGCTCTTATGGCAGGACTGATCTCCAAAACAGCAGCCAGCTGTGATCTCCTTTTAGGAAATCCAAGGAAACCAAGACGCTGGTTTCCAAGGTTAGAGCAAACAAGCTTTTCAGCAGCAGCCTCTCACATGACCCCTCGCGTAGTTTTGTCCTTCCTAAGTCACACTCTGAGCTTTCTTCCACTCTCCCAGAGCCCCCCCAGCTCCCAAGGGGATCACTCACAGCACTGGGGGGAAGAATGCTGCCATCCTGCTGCTTCATGCCACCCTCCTGGGCCTGCCCAGGGCCCTGAGTGGCCAGGGGCTCCTGCGTGCCGGGTCCCTGCGGGCACGACCCCTCCTGAGCTGTGCTCTCCTCCTGCTGCAGGATGCCCCGTCTGTCCAGGACACTGCAAGAACACAGCAACGCCATCAGACACCCCCAAATCCCACCTCTCTTCCCAGCAGAAGTGCTGGTGGAAGACAAAGGTCAAGGCCACTCAAGAGCTCACCTGGGGGGTAGGGGCCCGCAGAGCACCTCGCAGCAGTTCTTCACTATGTTGCCGTGGCTGTAGGGATTCTGCACACGGTTCTTCCCAGTCCAGGACCCCTTAATCTGAAATAGTTGGGCACAAACTCAGGTTTACTCCAAGGCCGCCCTGCCCCAGCCCCCAGATCCCTGTGTTCTGCTCAGCCTTGACACACTGAGAAACACCGACAGCTCAGAGGAAGAGGAAGGCTCTACTTACGTCTTCGTTGGTTGTCTGATTCAGTGCCACCAGGAAGGTGTGGAACCCAGTTAACCCCACCACCGACCACAGCGTGAAGAAACAGATGAGCACCTCCAGTACAGTGAGAACAGTTAAGGACGGGAACAGCCTGAGAGCAGGCCCAGCCCACCTGTTACTGCCCCCACAAACATCAACTTCTCTTCCTCTCCTAGCCACTGTTTTCTGTTTTATTCTTCTCCCAAGAGCCAAGAAACTGCTCCCCACATTGTCATCCAGGGGAAAACGCCCGGAAAGACTCAGAGTGGTCTAAGCAGCCACTCCACAATGCAGCTCCCACTAACCCCCAATTGTGGAGAGGTCAAGCACTTGGGACCATGGAAGGATATGTCCCTGGGGTTTCCTTCAACGTGTTCAGAAACCCAATCTTCAGAGATTCTGCAATACAGAAAGAGAGATTTTTTTCACCTGGAACATCCCACTGAGTCCAGCTCCCTTTCCCACTCCCTAACTCTGGTTTCACACCACCATCTGTAGTCCTACTCCCTCCCTCCCAGCTCTCCAGCTCTCCAGGCAGACTCACTCAGTGCTACGTAGACGATGTTGAAGGTGAAGATGTAGATGGTGAGGAGGGAAAGCGAGAGGATGAAGAGGTAGAAGTAGCGGTAGTTCCTCTTTCCCACGCAGTTGCCCACCCAGGGACAGTGATGGTCAAAGCGCTCTGGGGAAGCCAAGATGAAAATTAGCACTGCCTGCCCACGTCTAGATCCTTGCCCCTGTGCTTCCACTTCAAAAATCCCCCAGGCTGACAAAAACTGCCAAGTTCAACCCTCTGCTCAGTCAGGACCTCATATCCTGGCCTCCTTTCAGGAGGTCAAAAAGTCCAAAGTTGTTTTATAATGAGTCATTTTGCACATTAAGAGAGAATTTGAGCTTGACCCCCCCCATGTGTCTTCTCTCCCTGGAGGACAACAGCCACAGCACATGGGTTAGATGAAGGCCTGGGAGTCCCCATGTTCTTACCCTGGAATAATCAAGAGAAGGTTCAACAAACTGCATAAACACACAAAGGCTGGGAATCTGAAGAGGAGGAAAGGGGTGCAAAAGGACAGGATTTCTGCCTGGAGCAGTGATGCTGAACATGAGCCAGTTACATACACAGAAGGAAGACAACAACCAGGGCACCCCAGGGAATGGCACAATCTCTGTGCTGATGAAGGATCTGCTGTCACCTGAGACACAACTCTCCACTGGAACCCTCCAGTCCTGCAAGGCCAGAGTCCAGTGGGATTCAAAAATGGGCTGCACATGTACACACAGCAGCTGGACTCGTTTATTGCCAAAGTCCTGGCAAAGAGGAAGCACCTGGCTCCAGGTTCTGAGCAAACCTCAAGCTCCTCGAGCACAAGACGAGGCAGCCTGGACACTGCAGCAGCCCAGAGCCACCCAGCACGAGCCTGGGCGCGGGTCTGTCCCTGTGCCAAGGCTCTCCGTGAGGAGCAGGGCCAGGCCAGGCCCAGCACCACTCACCCACGCAGTTGTCGCAGATGCTGCAGTGCGAGGCGCGGGGCGGCCGGAAGATCTTACACGTGTAGCAGTACTTGAGCTTCACAATCTGATTGTTGATCTGGAAGTTCTTGATGCGCGGGGGCGGGCGCTGACCCTGCGGCACGGTCCCGTTGGTGGCCTCTGCCAGAGAGAACCGGGCACAGGTCGGAACTGCTGCTACAACATGACAGGCCTCAAACAAGAACTCGCTTCCCTGCCTTTCCTCCCAGCGGGATCAGAGCCCGCTGGCTCTGGAGCTGGAGGCTGCAGCTCTGCTCATGCAGGCCAGAGCCAACCTGGCAGCTTGGAGGCAGGAAAAGGGACGCCAGAGCTTTCATGGGCATGTTGAGAGTGGGCTGGGTGTTATCACCTGCATCCACCAAACCTCCTCCCTCCCTGAAGGATCAAGGGGACCACTCCAAGCTTTCTGCACCCCTTCTCAAAAGCAAACTGAGTTTGTATGTACGCGGCTATGGGAGAGGAAGCAGCAGGTGAAATGGCTCCCAGAGAGGGACGCAGGTACAACATGCTGCCTTCTTGAAACTTGGCCAAGTACGGTGAGCCAGCAGAGTGGGGCAATCCTCACTTTTGGAGGTCCAGCCAGGAAGATAAGCTCTTGCAGGGACTGTAGCCTAGAAATATGCCATAAATAGGGAGGCTTTTCCATCCCTCACCAGCTTGGC